AGTACTGATAACTCACTGCAATCATCACTATCTAATGTACAGGGTGTCCATAAAAGAATGTCCGAGTTTCAATGGTATATTACAAGAGTTTATTTTATACTAAATATAACAAGTCATACATGAAATTGAAGGATAACTAACATTGTTTTTCCTATAAGTGCTCAATGTATGCGCCTTTAGTGATACGGCACACATCCAAACGAAAATGCAATTCTTCCCATACTGTCTGCAGCTAGTCCGGAGTAATGGAAGCAACAGCCTGTGGAATTCTACCTTTCAAGGTTGGTAAATTGTGGGGTAGGAGTGGAACGTAGACCCGATCTTTTACGAAGCCCTAAAGGAAGAAATCACAAGGCATGATGTCAGGTGAACGAGGCGGCCAGGGTAACAAAACTCTGTTGTCTGGACCGTGACGCCCAATCCAACGGTCAGGGACTTCGACGTTTAACCAATCTCGCACAAAGAGACTCCAATGAGGAGGGGCTCCATCTTGTTGCCAAATAAAGTTTGCAGGTTCACTTTCTACTAATTGGGGAAAGAGCCATTGTTGTAGCATATCCAGATAAGAAACCCCTGTTACTGTAGCTTCAGCGAAAAAAAAAAAATGGTCCGTACACTTGTCGTCGTGAAACAGCACAGAAAACGTTTATTTTTGGAGAATCTCTTTCGTGTTGTACAAGTTGATGAGGATTTTCTGAACCCCATATACGAACATTATGGGTATTTACCTTCCCACTTGTATGAAACGTCGACTCATCACTGAACACCACATGATGCAGAAAGTCATTGTGCCGTTGAAGAACTTCACATGCAAAACGAAATCGTACTGCACAATCATTTGGCTTTAATTGCTGTACCAACTGTAATCGGTATGGACGCAAGTGTAAATTTTTTTAAAAAATCGTCCAGACTGTCGTCTTTGGCAACTGTAGTTCATGACTTGCTTTCCGAACAGATTTCTGCGGACTACGACGGAAAGATTCTTCGACACGTTCCACATTCTCTACAGAAACTTTGAGTCTTCCCGGGCTTTTACCTTTACAAAGACATTCGGTCGTTTTGAATTGTCGATACCATCGGCGGATATTTCTGTCACATGGGGGATCACATTTAAACTTTAATCGGAATGCACGTTGAACGGTAATTACCGAATTACTGTTAGCAAATTGTAGAACACAAAACACTTTACGCTCAGAAGTCGCCATTTTGAACAGATGATGCTGCAACTGTGAAAACGATGTAGCAGTACAAGCGCATGCGCTTATCTGAAACTGTTGGAGTTGTTCTTTATTCATTACCTTCAACCACAACTGTCGAATGATTACAGCTGATACTATTACAATTTGAAACTCGGACATTCTTTTATGGTCACCCTGTATATCGATAACTATCATTGTTTAACTTTTTTTGTATTGCAAATAATTTAATTTTGTGTTTTGTATTGAATTCAGTAATAAATTCTCTTTAAAATGATATATACAAGTTTGCATTTTGTGAAATGTAATGTTTTCTATAAGCATACAAAGTTCAAAAACATAAAAATTTCCTTAATTTTGGCCACCGCTGTATACTTATGTAAAGAATATACAGTCAAAAGTCATTAATCCGGTCTCGTCGGGACTTCGGTGATTCCGGATTATCGATTTTTCTGGATTATAGATCATCAGTTTAAATCTGGTAAGATGGCATGCAGAAATAATAAAATTAAAAATATGAAACCATAATTTATGAAATAACAATTATGATCTAAAGGATATCAAAGTTTACAAAAAGAAAAAGATTAATATTTATTTGTTTACTTTATTAAACATTTCTTTCAATGTAAGTTGTTTAATTTGCTTCGTTTCATGTGATAATACTTTCTCTTTAATTCTATTAAAAAGACATAATTTCTTGTCTAGTTATAAAGTTCCGCTGTTTCAATTCTTATAATTGCTGTGTCGAGAATACCGACTAATTTGTCAATAGAAATTTTTTCGTTTTCAATGACCTTTGAGTCACTTTCTTCACTATTGGAAGCGAATTATAATGACAAGGAACTTGATTTAAATCATATCAAAACCAAGTACATCGAGATGAAATACTACATTTAGTAAAGAATTATAAGCCAAATAAAATAAAAAAGTCTGCCCTGAAGATAAGAATAGTGCTGACAGATCAACTTCCAATTCATTGCGTGCCATGTCGTTTCCCTCCCCCCGCAGAGCAGCGTAAAAGTGATAAACATATTTCGGAGTGATTAGATAATAAAAAGATATGCCTTTATCCATTTTTTGCAGCAATTCCACTTTCTGTTTAATGGACTTCGAAACATACTTTCGCTTTGTAGATCCTTTACATATTAATAAATATATATCAGAAATTCTATTTGACATAATCGGAAGTTCAAGCTTACTTTTATAAAATTGCTCTAACAGTCTGCAAAAAATAATAAGCCGGATCCAATTCGAAGATTAAGTAACAACGCAATCTTCAACATTAACTGAAATAGATAATTAGATAATTTTAGCTTATACCATCTGTTGTACATTAAACGCACATGCATAAACGTATTATGCGCACATGTATATTCGCAGCCGTAAAGGTCTTACGCTTACGCGTAAATGCCTATGTGCATGCGTGGACGCGACGCATGCGCAGAAAGTTTTTAGCTTTAAGGTCCGGATTATAGATCATTCCGGATTATGGGTGTCCGAATTAACGACTTTTGACTGTATAAAATAAAACTTGAATTTTAGTTGGTGCATTCCAGTTATCTGTATTGGTACCAGAGAACTGTTAAAAAGTGTTGATGAGGCAATGCACCGTTTTGCCAAAAAGTATTTATGGGGAAACTCGCAGTGTTGTCAAAAGGTATTGATGTGACAACGTAGGTGTATGTGTTGCGTCCGCTCCCCCAGAGAGCTTTCTGTATCTCCATACATACTCACTAATGTGACTGCAGAGTGTGTCTGCTTACATAGAGCATAATTTAATTTGCTTAAAAACATGATACACCTCTTTTTCCTTTTTCACTTTAGAATTTTGGCATTGAGCTTGTGAAATTCTCTGATTTTTTTAAAGTGAAAACAGATCACCATGGGGAGAAAACAGTGACACACACACACACCACACACACACAAAAAAAAAAAAAAAAAAAAAAAAACAATAAAAGTGTCTTGTATGAAAAAGGAAAAATTCAAAAAAATAAGCAGCGCAGGATGCATCATTGAAATAGAGAAAAGTTATTTAAACACATTTCTCGCCAAGGCTACCAGTGAGTTCTCGACATTTCAGTGCGGTGTGGATGATTCTAAGGTATCCTTTAATCTGTAACAACTCCTTAAGTGTTCTATGTAATTTGGTTATTTCTTCTTTCTGTCCTAAAAATAGTAACATGCGTATAATAAATCTGTTTTAGCTATGCAATTTCAAAATTCTTGTCATATGATTATCATTGAGTAAGATGGCTAGCCCAAAAAACTGTTTTTATTATTTTTTATGTGTTAATTTTATTTATTAAATATCATATTCTTCACACTTATGCCATATAAACTTCAGTTCAGCACCGAAATTACAAAATATTAAAAAACAGCATATCTTTAGAATTTCTAATAGACAATCTTGCATGCTGGAGATAAACATGTTTTATTTTATATAGTGTTGTCACTGCTTTCTTTTATAACACTGAGTTTGTTGATAAAAAATTCTTGAAGTTTTACAAAATGTGAAATACGAAATTCAGAATTCAAATTTGGTCATTTAGGTGCACATGTTCAGTTGGATAGCTCTAGGTATCATTGTTTTCTTGCAGTACAAGGAACATCCATCCATACATGCATGCAAATTCTTTATTATTTAAGTTCTTTAAAAATAATACAGAGCAATAATATGTGATGGGAGCAGTTTGGAAAGGGATTCAACATTTATAGCAAACTGATGCCAAATCCAATTTCAAGACAGCTCCATTTGTGCTAAAAAAATATTAACTCAGCCACAACTGAAACTTTCTGTTCGGTAATTATCTTTCATTGTTAACATCTATGGCATTACTAAAAAAAAAAAAAAAAAAAGGAGAAGGATTAAAAGTCAATTGGATGGAACATGTGCTTTGTAAGTCAATTGGATGGATGTGCTTTGTATCTCCATCATTAATATCTAAATTATTACATACATATGTGTCTCTTACAGATAAGTATAGATTATTATTATCCACTAAAGTTAATAGTGATAGTTAATTTCTTATAGTTCAAATTTAAGAAATGCTATAAAATATTTTAAACTAATTTCAGTGCAATGTGAAGAATATTCCAAGATCTGTTTCATGCTTTCTGTAAAAATAGTCTACACCTTCAGAAAGTTTTTTTGTAAACTCTTTGAAGTATTTTTTGAAAGTCTATAATGTTCACTGTCGTTTCTAAAATGCCTTTTAGTGTTTGGATTTTGTTTGTTTTTCCAGTTTTAAAAACAAATATAGTGAAGAAGATTGTTCTTATTTGATGTCATTTTTTGATTATGTATTTGTAACCATTCAATCTCCCCTCCCCCGATTTATTATCATGGAAAAACTGACAGAACAAGTATTAATTTTCCTCTTAAAAGCAGACTTTTTATTTATTTATTTTTTTTCCTCCCTATGTAGCATGAGAAGGATATATCCTTCCCATTTTTTCTAAATAAAGACCTTCAATGAACTTTAACAACAAACACATCATAAAATAATAATAAGGAATACAGACTTATAGTTGGAGTTGAATTATACATTTTTCTGCTGTAGTGTCCTCAGAGTTTCAAATGTTGAGGAGCGGAAAGTTTCTCTGACTAAGTCCAGTGCTAAAATGTGGGGATAAAGGTTATATAATTTTGATTGGTCTGCTGTATAATTATTTTAGTTTAGTGAATTTAATATTAGTTGGCGATTTTATGTTGCAGATTTTTTTTGTCTAATTATATTTTAATTTCAGCACTTGCAATCAAAAGTTTGCTTTAAAATTAAATTAACATTTTCTTTCTTCCCTCAGCTTTAGGATCAATGTCTGTGAAGCTTTTCTGACAGCTGGAAAAAGAAGACTTTGTCCATACTCATGAGTACAAAAGGAAATGACTCATGGGTGCTGGTTGGCAAAGATGGACGCACTCATGATTTATCACATGGTATGATATTTATTGGTAGAGAAGAATGTGACATAGTTCTTCAGGTATATTATTCTTTTTCTTCATATTCTGTTATCTTTCTCTATTATTGTTAATGCTGGAATTAGTTTTTGTTTAAAAGGAAAAAAAATAAAAAATAAAAAAATAATCCATATATTTAATCGGCCTTTTAATTTGCAGAATCATGCTTTAGAAAATCACAATTGAGCTAAAAGTTTTAGTACAAGGTAAATGGTAATGAGTGCATTGAAAAATAGTTTAAAAGTCATACCATGCATTTTTGGTGTCATATGAGCTCATTTTAGCTTCTTTCCTACCTTTAGTTCAAAATAATCAGGAACAGCTGTAAGAAATATTCTTTTATGTAAAGAAAAAATCCTTGAAAAACCTGTTGTATGGGAAGAACATGATCTGCAATGATTTTTTTTTTTCTTTTCATGAATAAGTTTATCAATTTCTACAATTTTGCTGCTTCCAGCAACATTTATGATGAGATAATGAAGAATTGCATATACATCTCTTATGCAGTTATTCATATCCGCCATTGTGTTTAGATTCATTTGAAGTAAGCTTTGATTCACAAAACTCTGTTATACTAACTTCTGAAGTCAAAAGTAAATGAATCGGACAAAAGGAACATGTGATCCAGCAAACTATGCTTTTATTCAAATACCCCCCCCCCAGTATGAATGAAGGTTACATCATTTGAACATAATTTTTCTTTGTGAAGAATATCGCTTTCTTGAAGAAACGTGATAGCTGCTATTTCATCTCTTTACTAATCCAAAGTAGCTGTGAAATCCATTGCTGTTAAAAAAAAAAAAAAAATGTAATTATGCAAATGTTAGTGTTTAATTGATCTAAGACAACTGAGTGTGAAAAAGACAGTTATCACCAGTAAAAGTGCCAAAATTTGCAACACCTTATATTTGCACCAACTTATGCTGAATGCATACCCAAAAATAATACCAACAATGGCGGAAAAAAGTGCCCAATAATATAGCTGTAAAGGTACCAGCTTTCCTCAGTATATGGAACTAAAGTCTGTGAAAACTTTCCTGATCCAAAAAGGTATTAAACAAAAAATAATTAACATTTTCATTTATAAAGAAAGCTGCCCAACCAGTATAGTGGTTAGTGTCACTGACTGCCGTGCCAAAGGGCTCGGGCTCGAATCCCGGAAGGCATAAATGTTTGTAAATGTATAGTGTCGGTACTCTAAATATGCAGTGAGCCAAAAGTCCTATTGTGCGGTTTGGTGGAAGGGGAGAGGGATGGGTGAATTTCATCAATAGTAAAAGGAATGAAGCATGAATAGTGTGCACAAATATGTAGAAAGTAAGAAAGGTATTTGTATTTTATTTTATTAACTTCATAATGCTAGAAATGAAAATCTTTGAAAACATTTTATATTTTTATTATTATTGCTACTGTAATTGGTATCTCAAAGAATTCATGAAGGAAATAGTGCTGTTAAATGATTACTTGAATTTCTTGCTGCAGTTTGCTCAGAATTGATTGTTTGGTACTTTCTGATTACCAGAAACTTAATTTTCTGATTTTTCTCTCCCTAGAATATTTTGCCAACTTTATGAAATGGTGAAAAATGTTTTTTAACACCCTTTGTACTTTATCAGTACTGTTTTATTAATGACAATAAAAATATTTTATAAGAAACCAAAAAAAAAAAAAAAAAAAAAAAAAAAAAAATTATGATGGGAAAACAAAATTTTGTATAGCCAATATTTACATTTATTTTTGCAGCTTGTAGATACTGTTCAGCTATGAGTTTCAGGCAAATTTTTACAATGTTAAATGTGTAATAATGTATTTAGAAATGCAGTTTTTAACTGTTAATAGCATAAATTCAGTATTAGTACCCTTGATGAATTATGATTGAATTTAAATTTCCAAACAAATAAAACATTTCTTTATAATTGTTCTTACTAAAATTGTTCAAATGATAGTTGTGTAAATTTTTGACAACAGCTTCCAAAAAGACTACAAGAAATCTAATTTTGCAAGGAACAATTTCATACTGAAACTGAGGTTGAGGACAATTCAAAGTACTATTTATTTATTTTAATATATAATCTTGCTACATATTATGTTTTTATTTATTTATTTTAATATATAATCTTGCTACATATTATGTTTTTATGTGGAGAATAATTAAAATGCTCTATATTTTTCAGGCGGCTAGTGCAGACAAACGGCATGCAGTGCTGTGCTACAACAATGGCGAACAGAAATTTCATATTAAAGATTTAAATAGTCTTACAGGGGTAAGTATGCTTTCTCTTTCCTAATTTTCTTAATTTTTTAAATAATGATTCAAAAAAATACACTGCATATTACTGTGCATGTAAGTTACTGTTTACTCTTATTTATTAAATCATTGAAAGTGAGAACACCTTGTTATAACTGGAAAATAGTTTTATTTTTCTTCAAGGTGCATTTGTCAGGTATCAGGCACCTCTACTTTTAAATAACATTTTGTGCCAAATGCGCCAAACCGAATGCTTCCTAGCTCCATTTGTTTGGGCCGCCCACTTTGTTTAAAGTTTGACAGCTTCTTAATAGAGCTCAGTTGGATAGGATTTTTTTTTTTTTTTTTTTTTGAAATGAAATGATGATTACTCAAAAAGTTGCACGTAGAATTTAAGGAAACTGAACCGTAGAATATAACACATAGTATGGTATAATATTACATTAAAAAAAAAATTACAAGACAATTATGGTGTTATAGAAATTAACATATGTATAAAATGAACAAATTAAATGTGTCAGGAAGTGTGGTGAAGTTCTAAAGAGGAGGACTGAGAGCAACTATACATCTTCCTTAAAGCATCCCAAACATGTTTGATAGGATTCATGTCTGGTGATCGAGCTGGCCACTCCATGTGCTGAATTGTTTGCTGCTGAAGATAATCATCTACGATGTGAGCCCTGTGCAATCTAGTTGTCCTGTAGCAGGAAGTTGTCACCTATTACCTTGGCATTAAGGGCATACATAAGCATCAAGGATATCATCTCTGTAGGCCTGAGCATTCACGGTTTCATGTGGGAAGATACGAAGGTTTGCACGTTCAGCCAAAGAAACACCACCCCAAGCACAGGCACTGTCTCCTCCATATGCATCTCTTTCATTAATGTTTGATGAATGATAACTGTTCCATGCTCTCTTCAATTCAAGTAACGTCTACCCTTGCTTTGGTGGATAAATCTGAACTTACCCATAAGGAGAACAAACCTCTTCTGATCAGCCGTCCGGTGGATATATTGATGTGCCCACCTCAAACGTTTCCTTCTCTGGTGTGATGTGAGCAGCACACAAATGGCTGGCTGCCTCGAGTCAGACCTCCTTCGTGAAGCCTTCTATGCTCAGTTGATGTGGACACCAACCTTCTGGTGGCTGCATCAAGGGAGGATCTGAGTTGAGTCGGCAGTTCTGCTCCTTTGTGCACATAAAAACAAATATGTCAGCACTCATCATAGCAATTAATCGTCCTTGGCTGAACCTCTTCGATGCCGAATATGGTTAGAAATTGTTGTCAAAGTATCTGAACTGCAGAAGGACTCGCATTTAGGCATCTGGCAATTCCTGTCTGACTCTGTCTTGCCACTAGTTTCCCAGTAGCTCTTTATTGCAGTTACTTTGGGTAAATGATGCCTGGAGGTCATTTTAACAAATTACCGATCCCAAATTTCTTATCTCGGTATCACAGCAAAATTTATAGGCTTTCTCTCAAACATGCGATGTTATTCTCCTTGTAAGTGACACATTGGAATTGCAACGCCACTAATTTGCATACTGCAGTTTTACTCAACAGCTCTTATTTGACAACATATTCAAATTTTATACGTATTGGCATATTTTTGGAGGAGTTATTGCTGTTTTAGTGATTTTTCTCAATTTTTAGAAACCAGTATATTAAGCATATTTTTAATTTATAAATGTTCATTGTATTGGAAACATTTGCATGCCATGAATATTGCTATCTGTAATAATGTCAAATTTGCATTTCAAATAACTTGTATGTGTTTTATTTATATTTTTCAGACATATGTAAATGGAATTAGGATTCCTGAACAGACATATATGAAGTTAAAGCGTCTAGATTGTATTAGATTTGGTTATGATATCCTTTATAAATATTTTTTCATTAAAATGTTTTCTTCTGAAAGTTTTTATTAAATTATTACAATAAAGTTCTGTTGTATAATTTTTGTGTATGTGGATTTGTGCTTGTATATAAAAAGACTGGAAAAAGTGGGTTATAATTCTTACTTTTAGTTTGAAGTAGTTCTTCCTTAATTCTTTTTATTTTGGTTATTTTCCTTTCCTCTCCTGAAAATAGTAATTCTTTATAATAAATCTCTCTAAATTATATAGTTTCAAAATTAATCCTCGTCATGTGCCAACTGTAATTAACCAAACAAAGTAACACTGAACCAAAACTGAATCAGCTTTATCCAGGCCTTCAAGGTATAATCTGTGCATTTGTTCTCTAGCTCTTTCTTCTGCTGACTTGCTGTTGCCATTTTTCTTATTTAACTACAAATGTGTTGTAAAAATTTGTTAAGGCATGGGTGCATGAGTTGCATAAGTGTAGCTATGGGTGTAAAGAAACATAAACAATTGCCATGGTTACTGATATATTCCAATGCCTCTGCATTCATTTGCAATTGAAAAAGTTATTATATTGTCATTAAAATTTTATATAAATGTATGTAATGGAATACAAAATTTTGAGGATTGTACCCACCATTGGTTTTGCAACCATGTAGCTGAAGTTTCATTGTCTGAAGTATTCCCGTAATCTCTGCTGTCTGTCCATTCAAACTCCATTTATCTTAAAGAGCCTGAGATATGGCAAAATAAAAATAGGTTCTTTGCTATGATGATGCCTCTGGGCAGAGATGCCTGTAAATCAGAAGTTTTTTTGTACAGAAATAATAATAAAACGCTTCCACATCCTATTTTGTCACCTGACTTATCCGTCTGCTATTTTTACTGGTGCTTAAAATATTAATACAACCACTTTGGGACTGTTTGTTGATTTTTTACTGATGGAGATACTGATGGAAAGGTAAAAGTTACTTTGAGTGCAAGTTGGCAGTTTTCATAAATTTTTTAAAAAGATTCTCAAGCTATTGATATTTACCGCAAGTCGGCAAAACGTTGTCAGCCCGTCAAAAGAAAGTACACTGTAATATTTTAAAATACAAGTTTTAGATATTAAATAAGTATTATATCATACATAAAAAAAAAAATAATAAAACAAATGCATTGTTTTTTGCAAAATCCTATAATTTTTTTTTGCATTTTTCTTCTTCTTGTGCACTTGATCTGTTTTTGCTGTAAAAAAATAAGTAAGAGCATTGCACAAACTTGGCATCGCTCACAACTTTGCACAAACTTGGCCTTGCATATTAGCTATGTATTAAACTGATCTCATCATTATTCTCTTTAGTGATTTCGCACAAAATACTCTATCCTGCAGAAATTTTACCACATTTTCTTCCATTGCTGGGAAATACCACAGGTTTATATTTTAAATTTGAGAAATATGATTGAACTATAATAAATTGTTAAAACTTGGAATATTACAAAAGGAATGCATTAAAAATAATGATATTGCTTAAGTGAAGGAATGATTTGAGTACTGTTGTCTGAAGAATGATTGTGTGCATGGTGCCAGTTTGGCACATTCAGGAAATTTGGCAACTTTTGTAAGGTTGTTGATAATACATAAATACTTTTTTCCATTGAAACAAAATATTATGCAATTCTGATTTGATGGAGCAAATGAAGTGAAAGCAGCATTTAAAGAGACATTACAGATGGTTGAAAAAGTTGGTAAAGCAATGCTTGCAGAAACTATATGAGTGCTTGCAAAAGGATATCATGTCACAAGGGGATTGCTTTGCAGGTAGACATCAATATTTAAATTATTCCCCATTAGGAATTGAAAGTACCTGAACTTTCAGAGTCCTAGTCTTCCTAGTCTTTTCCACATGTAAATGGATTGGATTATTAAATTATGGCAAAGCACACGAGAGCTATCTGCCTAAAGGGAGCGATGCCTTCGTGAAGGACTTTCTAAGGGAAACTGGCTCATATACACGTTACACATGGGGAAAACCATGAAAACACCCATGCAGCCAGCCCCACATATAAATGAAAGCAATCAAAGCAGCAATATAAGATTTTTAAGTTGCTTTGTAATTTAGATTTTTAAAGTTTATTTTTAACAGCATATCTACTTTCTAACATAATTTTAAGGATAATTTTTCCATTATAATAGTTAACAAGAAATTTCTAATGCTAAGTATATTATATACTTAGGTAAAGAATAATAGTTTGCTTTAATGATTTGCTGTTAAAATTTCCTAGTTTACATGATAAACTATTTATAGAGCAGTTATACCAAAATTACACTTGTCAGACTTTTAGGAATGTATAAAATTGTTGGTTATTGGTAATAAAGAATTTAAAAAATTCTATTTGAGTGAATTAGGGTTTTGAGGTAACTAAGGGAATGTTGTTGTTGTTTATTATTTTAACAGAACATCTGAATATTTTTTATTTAGATTTTTTTTTTTTAAATTTCATTTTATGTGGAGTTTATTTTTTTCCTTTACAAAGTACGACCAGATGTTTTTTATTTAGAAAAGAGCTCAAGTGCCACTTCTCCTTCTAATGAAGAAAAATCAATATCGCCAAAAAATGATATTGAAAAGGTATCAATTTTAATGTTTAATAACTTTTAAAATTGTAAATTACTTTAGTTGAGCTTTAATTTGATTTAATGAATCAGTGTGTCAACAAAACGTCTCATTAAATCTTTACATTTTTTTTTTTTACATTTCTCCTTGGTCGTTTATATTTGTAATTATGTATGAGTACATTTTCATTATTATTAAAAAATTAGTTAATTCTTCAGTTACATATCATAAACATGTAAGTTAGGTTTTTTTTTTTTTTTTTTATTATTATTAAGAAAGTTAGTGTTTTGCTATACTCGTATTTCTCGCATTGCAAAAATACAAACTCGCATCAGTTTTCTAGTGTTAAATAGTCATCTAATTATGAGGTATACTGTGAATTTTTCCCTTCCTAATTGACATGAAATTTATGTATTCATTGTTCTGCATCATTGCTTGAGGTGTCCAAATATAGAGACAGAAAATAATTTTTATTTTATTTGTAAGAAATTTCTGAGTATCATTAATGTGGTGACAAGAAAATGTTAGTATTATAGTAACTGTTATTCTCAGCAGCTGTAATGTATTGAATCCCATTTTATAATGTTTAGTTTTCATGCAACAACTATTTTTACCATCATTTGCTTGCTTTTTTAAAATCACCTTTGCCATTTTAACACTGTGGTTACTGATTTTTAGATTTTGAAAAAAAAAAAAAAAAAAAATTGATACCAAAAACTAAAATTGCGTATAAAGTCATTCCATTTTTTACTTACGTGTACAAAGTAAAGGAAGTATTGTAACCGCGAAACATTCCGTGAAACATATTTCAACAAAAATATCCATTTTGGCCGCTATCGAATGCGATTTAATGATGTTTTAGCATGACATGTGTGCATAAGGACAAAATTAAAAGACCCAAATGAATTATAAAACTGATTAAAAATGGATTCAGAAGAGATTTTTTCATGGTGTCTGTACATACATACTTATATATGTACGTATCTTACATAACTCTAAAACGAGTTGCCTCAGAATGTTGAAATTTTGTATGTAAGACTGCTATAACATGTAGTAGTGCACCTCCCTTTTTGATTGCAATGAGCCTCAAACAGTACAAAGTCCGTAATCCGGACGTCCATTATCCGGAATGTTCTATAATCCGGACCTCAAAGCCACAAACTTTTTTTTTTTCGTATGCTTGACGCATGCACATTTAATGCATAACGGAAGGTATAAGCTAGGCTAAAATTATCTTTACTGATTCTAAGGCATTTCAGTTCATGTTGCAGATTGCGCTGTTCCTTAATTTTCTAATTGGATCGAGCTTATTGTTTTTTGCAGACTGTTAGAGCAATTTTATAAAAATTAAGCGTGAACTTTCGATTATGTCGAAAAGAGTTTCCAACTCCAGGGCTGCCTAAGGATCTACGAAGCGAAACCATGTTTCGATGTCCATTAAACAAAAAGTGGAATTGCTGCAAAAAATGGATAAAGGCATATCCGTCTCAAAATTATGCGAGGAGATTAGAAAGTCGGCTGTATATGACATAAGAAAAAAGGAACATTTTGAATTTTTTGTGGAAGCATCCTAACCTCTTTGCGCCGACTGTCACGATTCAGATGTATGTAATCCGTATGCACTGACTGAAAGAGCATAAAGCATTTTAGGTATTTATTGCACTTGTACTGCATTAAATTACTACCTAAAATTTGTTGTGCAATATGAAAACAGGATAGTAATGATTCGGGTTTTCTCAAAACATAAATAGTAGAATTTGTAAACTGTGCACATATTTCTGCCACAGCATGTGCAATAGCATATGTTTAAAAAACATGCTACTTGGGTATATTTTGGTTATGTTTTCAGAATATTTGATTGAAATTTAAAAATTAGGCGCCAAAAAAAAGTTATTTTGGTATAGATTATGAATAAAACTCTTAAGTTTTCAAAGCAATCAAGCATAAATTAACTTTTCTTCAAAAGCTACCCCCTCAAAAAAAAAAAAAAAAAAAAAAAAAAAAAAAAAAAGTTTTTATCTTCTGAAGAATAGGTATCTGTTTCTGATCATTCCCAAAATTGATAAAATTTATTTAAAATCATGGCAAAATAAGGTTGTCTTTTTTTCTTCCCACGGCCCAAATTTTAAATTTTGCTTTAGCATTCTTCTCTTTCATTTGATTGTACTGAAATTTTAAAAGTTCTGAACAGAAAAATGAAACTACTTGCAACTTAGAGCAACTTGTAAAAGGACGACTGAATTTCCCAAATGTGTTCTTATTGTCCATTTGCTTTTCTAGTACTTCCTTACTTGTCCCCTGGATTATTAATATCTCCATAGATCTAATTAGTATCCAGCAATAGGCAATAACGTCCATGCTGGGAAACTGTGCTATAAGTGATTAAGCAACAAATAAGAACAAATCTAAAGGCATGTTCACCATTCATTCTATACAATATTTTTTTCTGTGTTTTAAAAAAGTATCTTGCAGATAAATTGTGCTGACTGCTAATTTAACTGCTAGTAAAAGTTCTTGCGTTTAATTTCATTTCTCTATAATTTTAAAATGTATTTATTGAGACATTGAAAAGCTGTTCAGCTTTCTATCTAGAATAAGTATGATATATTTTCTTTAACTGTATTATATTATTTTTCATATTATCAACAACCATTTTTATTTTCTATATTGCATATTGTATGTGGCACCATTATCTGTGAATCATAAATCATTAAATGTTATAGTGCTGATAATCAAACATAACTGTATTTACTTTTTCTTCCATAGAAAACATTAGAAGAAGAGTTGAAAGCTAAAAAATCAAACCTGAAGTTTGAGGAGGCTTCTAACAAAAACAATAAAAACATTCATGGTTGTGAATTACCAGCTTTGACAAGGGAGGATAATCCGCCTGATACTTTATCATTAAACCTTAGTAATATTAGGCAGCAGGACAAAGAATGGGATTGGATTGGTCAAGATGGTGCACTTTCTGATAGTCCTGGTAACTTTTCATTGTATATCAATTAAAATCAGCTCGTCAAAAGCCTTCTTTAAAGTTTATCTTTAACTTGTCAATTACCTTTCAAATTTGGATTGAAATTTAATTTATTTTAAGAGTTTGAACTTAAAAATCAAATTGTAAAAGTTTCTTGAAGGGAAACAGAGAAATGTGTGTTTTATTTAGATAATAACATTTGATTACTTTGAAAGAATACCGGCTTTCCAACTTTTATCTTATGCCTTATGGTGACTATTTGATTGTGGAATATTTTTTGCAGGAGGGAGGATCTTAAAAATGTGTTAGAAAGTTTTTTTATTTCATTTTTTCTAATATTAAAACATCAATCTTTAAGGGAAAATTGTGATTTTTATTTCAGTATAAAGCAGAAGTGTTAAAAATTGTGACAATTTTTAATAAATTATGATAATGTGTGAGTAAATCTAAAGTAAACTTTCTAGATGTACTGTTTAATATCAAATGTACCTATATATATATATATATACACACACACATATTAGTTCATCTGAAAGTTTTGCAATTTATATATATATGATCAATACAAATGAAACAGTACAATAACATAAAATTTCTTTGAATCACATAGGCACTATTTTGTTCTATGGCTTGCTTTCTCACTGGCAGCCAGAAAATTCATTTTTTTAAAACAAAGTTATTAGGTTTATTCATAAAGTATCAAGGTGCTGTTTCGCAGCCTCCAAAGAAGTTTAACTCCAGGCCATTACAGAACTTTGAAGTGCCCTGAAGAGACAAAAATCCGATGAAACTCGAAGTATAATGAATGTAGAGCATGGCATAAAATATCCCATCCATACTTAATAAATCTTTGACATTCACCGAAATGTGAGCATTGTCATTAATGGAAGACAATATGTCGATGATTGGTCAGTTCTGGACACATTACATCAATTTCTGATTTTAAAACTGCTATTTGGGAATAGTACTTTCCAACATATTATCTGATTTCGTTATATTTCATAATGTATAATTCCTTTGTAGTCTCACTAAGTAGTAGCATTACTTTGTTGTGATGCAGACCTTTAGTGATGTTACTAACGGAAGTTCTTTTGCCATACACTGTGACCCTTTTTTGTAAACCTTATTTTCCAGTATTCACTTGTCATCTCCAGTAATGAAAAATTTCAAAAAAAGGAGCTTCTTTATTGTTTTTTCAACAAAGAATTACATGTCAAAACTCAATCAATCATATTTTGCTGTTAAATTGGAATTTGCTGTATATGGTACAGCTTACATACATATTCTTCTTCAAATTACATCATAATATTCTTCAAATGATTCTACAACATACAGTACATAATCTTCTTCAAATGATTATGTACTGTATGTTGTAGAATATGTAGTCTATCTGACAAGTCATAAACTGCATAAGATGGATTTTCAGTGACAGCTTCTTTTAATAGGTCCTTGTTTATAGAAAATGATCCTTAAACTTCTCAAGCTACTTTTGAATTGTCTCTTCAGAAACAGCACTTTGTCAATATGCAGCACAAATTTTATGAACAGTTTGACTAGTATTTTTTCCATTTTTAAAATAAAAGAGAATAATATGATGAACTTCTGAGTTCCTCCATTCTTATCAGTAAAATAAAAAATAATAATAATAAAAAAAAAAAAAATCTGATATTTACACCACATGACTTCTTTGTATGAAATATTAAATTATATGCATTTTTTCTTGCATTTCATTTAACTTATTGGATTGAATTAAATGTACTTCGCCGACAGCGCATAAACCACAAGAGAATAAATGCATTCTTTAAAATTCACTCTAGTATTTGTTTACCATAGCGACACTCTGGCGCTAGATTCACTTAGTATTATATTTCGTTCATATTATAACTCGTAATGCACAAAATTTATATCATTTAAAGAAAAGAATTATCTAATCGTTGCCACATGTTCTATTCAAATACTATAATAAAGCTAGAATGATGTATAAAAGAAATTAAACAAAAAAGAAACAGTTTTTCACAGACGATTAAGTATTTCTCATGCAATTAATTCAGCTCTCACTTCGCGAGAAGGCAAAAATACATAAAAACTCAAAATATCTATATTAAAAATTACGCAGTAAATCTTAAACACTTATTTCCTCGAAAAAAATTTCCAGAAAGGTTAAGCATGGTTTAAATGGGCAATAATAAATGAAGGCGTTATCTTTGTTGTTGCGAAGCTAAGTTTCTCTAGATTGGCAACAAATCCACTAGTCTGCTGTTTCAAATGTAAACAATCAATGGCCGCCATAAAATAAAAACTTAGTGGCACTTAAACAATTTTAAAATTGTTTATAATTCTAAAAATATTGCATACAGATTTACTAAAGACATAAAAACCTTAACTGGAAGATAAAAACAACATAAGTGAATCATTTTTAAAGCAAAAAATGTACAATTTACAAACATATAAGAGTAAAGAAACTAAGATCACTGAGCCGGGTAACAGAGTGGATATATATATAAATTAATTTTTTTAAAACGTGTTGAACTTTTTGGAGCAGCAGCTCTTGGTAACTTTTAGGCGAGCTTACTACAATTTTTATATTAATATATTTATATATGTTTGGTGCGGCCGATTGCAACCAAAATACGAGGTGCAACATCTACATGTTATAGCAGTCCTATATACAAAATTTCAACGTTCTGAGGTTACTCGTTTTTGAGTTATGCGAGATACGTTCGTACGTACATATGTTCGTACAGACGCCACGAAAACTTCTCTTCAGAATTAATTTTAAAAGCAAGTTTTATAATTTTTTTTGGGGGAGGGAAACGAGTCTTTTATTCTGTCCTTACGTACAGATATCACGCAAAAACATCGTTAAATTGCATTCGATAGCGGTCAAAATGGATATTTTCGTTGAAATGTGCTGCCTGAAACTTTTCGCGATTACAATACTTCCTTTTTATTTCGTGCAAGGAAGTAATTATGCTGCAGTACTGCTAGAATTTTGCAGTATGAGCAGAAAATATATTTAGACACCTGCTTTGATCAAGGTCTTTCCTTATTTGTAAAAAATAAATAACTAGAAGGAAACATGCATCAATTTGAAAAACCACAGAACTTTCTAGATGACCCCATATATAAAAAGTGAATTTTTTTTTCTTTCATTGAAAACAATCTGAAGAGTGTTTTTCAAAATCAGTAAGAAAAATATCAAATGAAAAAGCATCCTTTTATGTAATCTTGCCAAAAAATTTTATTAATTGTGAAGGTTTTACTGAAGACACAAAAAATTTAGTGTTTCAAGTAATATAATTCTAATTTTCATTTTAAAAGAATTTATTTTTTAATTAATTTATCATCTACCAGTTTATGAAAATTGTAGTGAAAATTATAGTAGTAGTTAAGAAAATTACTTTATTCCTCTTTGTCTAATGTAACTGCTCATTAAAATAAAATCATTCAAATTTTGAAATCTAGATTATAGTCAAAGGAGCGAAACTTCTTCATGTTCTGCTCCTCCTAACTATGGTACTACTACAGGAGAGGATCGTGATACTGGTTCAGCTCATTCATCTCCTGCTGCTACAGCATTTACTATAGCATTTGAAACTGAAGCAAGCACACCCAGGAAGAAGCTTGGGATAAGGGACAGCATTAGTAAATTTGCACCTAATAAAATAGATTCAGAAAGTCGAGTATCTTTTCAAAAAAGTAACAAAACAGAAGCAAGTCCAGCACCCTTCCAGAAGAGTAATAAGGCAGATACTGGCCCTGTGTCTTATCAGAAGAGCAGCAAAACAGATCCCAGTGCAGCACCTTATCAGAAGAGCAGCAAAACTGAGCCTAGCCCAAAAAAGGTAAGTTTTAATTATGCCTTTTACTTGAACAATTAGAAGAATACAGTAAAACCTAAGTTCACAAACTTAATTTGTTTCTTAAGATCATTCATAAACTGAAGCACTAGTCCTCATAAGAATTAATGTAAAATGGAGTAATTTTTTTCATGGGTCACAGATGATTGATTATTTAAACTTTACAATAGTACTTTGTGCACAAGTTCATAACCCAAAATCGATGTAAATTGTTAAATGTAAAAAGAGAGTACAAAGGAGATGGTACAAGTGGATACTAAAGAGGAAGATGTTATTCTTTGGACGGGGAATTTTATTTCCATGGAAGCATAAGATAATTAATTGTCTTTAGAAAATGTCTGTTATCGTTGTCTCTAAGTATCACGTGACTCTGCTGAGACTCACTTGGCCTCTGTTTCACTCAAAATTTCTTCAATATGATTAGTTGTTTTAAAATTTTTCTAAAGTGACACATGGCATTGTCACTGAAAATGCTTATTCTATAAACTTGCTATTACTTTATCTGGGTCATATTATAACGTGAAAACTTTGCATCTTACCCAGTTTTGCAGATTATAGAACTAGATCAGTTTTCTTTCTGTCTTTTCTTCTATAAACATTTCTTCCACAGTTGCCTTCTGTTGTTGCTTCTGAAGCTGTTGTAATTCTTTCTTCTTTAGCTCATTTTTTATGGATCTCTAATAATTTCAAGTCTTTGTTTTTAATTTCCTAGCCTTAGGTTTTGCCTAGAGATACAATTTAATAGATAACAAAAAATGTCATAAGTGTGAAAGTGCTCAAAGTGTGTGCCTGCAATTCATTCTGGCTATAATTTCCTGCAGACCAAAGTTATGCTCTGTAAGTTACTTGCTGCCGAGCTTCATTAATAGGAGTTAAGCAATGAAAAATATTAAAATGGTGTTTCTAGGAGGCTCTGAATTTTAGTTATGTTCTAAGGTTAATCCTAAGTTTTTAACAGTTATCTTTAGTTAAAGCTATTTTCTCATCCCTCCTAATTTCAGTTTACAATTTCCTACCGGAATGTGTGTTTAGAATTGCAGTTAATGCAAATGAGTAAGAGTGGTATTTAAGTCAAAGTTCCACTGACTTTGTTAGAGAACCTCAGAGTTTCTGACTAGTGCGCGTTCGCCTTTTGGCTATGTTTCCCTCTAAGCTATTACTACGCTCGGCCGTATTTCAGACCCTTGATAGCTTGCCAGCTTATTCGATATTACTCATTTGCATTAAACTACTTTTGATAGCTTTGGCTATATCTTTTTAATGCTTAATTAAAAAGATATAGCCAAAGCTTAAAAAGATATAGCCAAAGCTTAAAAAGATATAGCCAAAGCTATCAAAAGTAGGCGGATTAGTTAAGTTTTATTTCTTATTACCTTAAGTTGAGTTCAAACCCAAGGGGAGGCTTTGCTGTACGCTCTGAGAAAGGAGCCGACTATTTAATTCATATTTTGAGAAATAAAGGGTAGTTAACCCTTCTTGAGTTTACGTTTCTGTTCTTGAACAAAAGTGATTATTAACTGTTCATGAGGTTCCTATACATTTAGCTGTTAGCTAAAAGTGTGAAACCCCACAATGTTATATAGGTTACCTTAAATCACCTTTGGAAATCATATGTTGCCAAATTGAGTGTTCATAACTCATTCTTCATCCAAGATGCTTTTGTTATTCAGATAATTTTTTCATGAAGGGAGGAATTTGTGATCTGAGGTTCTACTGTAAATGCATTGCAGAGAAAAGGTTTAAAAAATATATTAAAATAATATTTTTCTATTAGAGAGCCTGCGCAGAGCATGTAAAGGGTAATTATTGCTGTAAATACATGCATGTGTAAAGTTTGATGCAGATCAGGAAGTTCACATGAAGATTTCTTTTGTGTATGAGTAACATGTAAAAGATGCTGAAACAATTTTTGAAGTTCAGAGTTGCCAACTCTCCCGATTTAGGCTGGAGACCCCCGATTTTTGACCGCTCTCCCGCCAACCCGATTTACAATATATTTCTCCCGACTTTTTCTTATTCTTAAAATTTCTCACGATTTTATGGAACTTGGCTTAATTACTTTGTTATATGAACAAACAAAAAAAAAAGTGGATTTGGACGTCTGAAAGCAATTGAATTTTCTCTAGATTATATCTAAAACAAAAACTTGCGAATTAGATAACTTCTGCTTTGTGAGTGAGAGCATATACGTATCCAGAAACTTCGTTCTCCAGTTCTCCAATGGGCATCGTGCTCCACCTGCGTGTCATCTGGCATATATTAGCCAATGAGGACAAAGCAAGCTGTTATTTGGATGTTCTTTAGTTACTTCTTCTCATTTTGTCCTGAGTTGTGTGAGTACACGTGAATTCAGGAAAGAGTTTTAGAAATTATAATCTTTTGTTATGTCTGTGAGAAAGGTGAAATACTCATGTACGTTTCAAAAATCATACACAGTTGACTTTCCTTCCATTATTTTCTCAAGGAAATGTGATAAATTTGCGATGTGTACCGCCTGTCGTTGCGATTTTTCGATTTCGCATGGTGCAGGGGCGGATGTTCTAAAAAATGTGCATACACAAAAACACAAGGACAACAGGAGTTGTTTTGAAAAAAACGAAAAATTAAATTTTTCTTCGGAAACAAAGGACCAAAAAGTTATTAATGCAGAATATCTGTTCTCTGCCTTTTTACTGGAGCACAACCTGCCACTGAATGCATCGGATCACGCTGCAGTTTTATTTAGAAAAATGTTTCCGATAGTGAAATCTATAAGAAATTCTCAAGAATCAAAACAGGTGCAATTGTTAAAGAACTGGATTTTAAAAATAAATCTTCAGTTATTGATTGCATTAAAACAGCTCCGTTCTGCCTCTCTACGGAAGCAATAATACCGATTCAAAACTGTATCCAATTGTTGTTTCTTTTTTTAATCCAGAGTCTTTAGAAATTGAGTGCAGTTTACTTTCTGTCCCCACTTTAGAAGGACATTTGACAGGTTTTAATATAGCACAGCTAATTATTAAAACTTTAAAAGAAAATGCAGTTCCTCTGGATAATTGCTTAGCACTTGGTGCCGATAATGCACCAGTATTGGTAGGCTTGAAAACTGGTGTTGCAGGCATCTTGAGAAAGGAAAATTCAGATTTGCAAATTATGAGGTGCACCTGTCACCTCTTAAATTTAGCAGCTGAAAAAGGGGCAGCTTCTTTACCAATAAATGCGGATGAACACATTGTTGATATTTATTATTATCTTGAAAGGAGTTATAAAAGGAAGGAAAAATTGAAACAGTTCCAACAGCTGCATAACAGCAGTTTACAATTAGAAAACTTGGATGAAGTTATAAATCAGCTAGGACTGACACCCATTGGAGTTAAGTTGGAAAACTGAAAGGATGATGATGGAATTTTAAAATATAGTGAACTGTCTAGAATTATGTTGGACATCTTGACAGTTCCCCATAGTAATGCAGAAGTGTGAGAGGATTTTCAGTGCTATGTGTGGAAAATGAAGGACTAAATTTTGATCTAATATTAGTGATCACACAAATCAGAAAAACTTTTATTAACGAAAGCAGGCCTAAGTGGCAATTGCTAGGAACAAAAATTATGAAATTTCTTTCTTAAAGAAAGCAAATCTGCCACTGTTTATAACATTTGTACAAAAACTGATTAAAGTTTTTTTTTTTTTTTTTACGATGCAAGTAATAAAAATATTTTTTATGTGTATGTGTTGCTTGCATTTAAGAATTAGTTACTATTTAAAGTTAATTCATTATCAAAAACTATATTTTCATCATTTAAAAAGTCTTTTTAACATTGTGAAAAATCTCCTGATTTCTTAAAAAAATCTCCCGATTTTTGAGTGTCATAGGTTGGCAAGTATGGAAGTTATTTTAATGAACTATGTATATGTATATATATAGCAAAGAAATATAATTAAAATATAATAAATTTTGTTTCAAAATTTCAAGGCTTGCGAATCCAAATAATATATTGTTTAATAGTTAATACTGAATATTTATTTTATTGCTTTTGTAGGACAAATTAAATTACATGTAGTGCTTTTGAAATTATGTCTCAAAAATACAAAAATTAATTAACATTGCTATCTTAAAACAATACATTTTAACAGTCTGTGAGTACTTGTTATTATAAGAAACTGATTTTCTTTTGAAGGTTTTTTATATTATTTAACTTTAAATTTTATTACTTTCCAGTTACCACTGCCAGATAAGGGTAAAACAAAATCAAAACCTGAATTTGGATGTGGTGATATCAAAGGTATAAAATATTTGGCCCTCTTTTATTATTATTCTTTAATTTTAATAAAGTTTTGTTTGTACTTCAAGACTTTTCAAGATTTGCTAGTTATTTTAAAATTTGGTCTTTAAATGTTTATATAACACTCCTTTATTTGTGACTAGCAGCTTCGCTGCCAGCCTTTGTCTGGCTTTTAAATGTACCATAAAAATGGCTGAAGGAAACACCAAACGTTAAATTTAAAAACTGCATAGAATTTTACTCTGCAGAAAAACTTCATAAAAAAAAGTTATTACGTATAACAAAATTACACTGAAATAAGCAATATCCCTTAATACAAATATTAATTATCCTAATAAATAAATTAATCAACTTCCCTTTCCAAAATCATAAGAACTCAAATGGTATAAAGGAGGTTAAGAAATTTGTTTCCTAAAAAAATCACTCAAAAGTTTTCAGTATCTTAAAAACAGTGAAATGAGCAATAAATAACATAAAAGAATACAAAAAATAAAAAATTCTGAAAAGCAAAGAATAATTAATGATATTTTATCTTATATTTGCAAGAGAAAAAAATTAGGCGCTACTTTGGTAGACGGTTGCATGGATTTTTGGCGATTTACAATGGCGCGGTTTTTACAGTCATCAGCCATCTTGAAAAATCCTGTTTTTATGTATTTTACGCATATAGTAAAGCATTAGAAACTTTACAAAAATAAATATCGTTAAAAATAATGGATTAATTTTTTGTTGGAAACGTTGTTTTTTAAGATGGCTCGCAAATATAAATAAATACATTTACTAAGAGTATAAAATGCTAAAGTATGGTTAAATTATTACTTTCATATAATAGAATAAAAACATTAAGCCAACATTTAATTGGATTAAAATATTACTTAAATTGAATATCGAATTAAAAACATCATACCAGCGTTTAAAGGAATTAAAATATTACTTAAATACTTTAAAATAAGTTTTATAGGATTTAATTATTTAACATTAAAACGTATGTGGCAATAAATATCTCATGAATTTTTGAAAACATTGTATTAACTTTTTAATAAAAGTTGAAGTATACAATTATAAAGTAAAATAAAAATTATGTACTTACATTTCTTTTTTAAGTATTTTATCTGTCGTATATATGATAAGTACCACACACACACAAGTTCTTTAAAACGATCTTCATCTGTGATCCACATCTCTCGCACTTCATTGAAGAAGCAATTAGCGAGGTTTCCTCCAAAAATTTAAAATAAATTTCCTCTGACCCTTGTAACAATTTATAAATAAATTCTTTGATTAGGAAAGCCAGGTTAGGCCAAAAAAAAGGTCTCAAAAGGGCAATTTTTTTATTCCGATACCAATAATTCTTGGTTTTTACCAATAACAACATTAATCTTTCGAAAGGGACATATCCGTCTATTTGAAATCTGAGGAATTCGAAGAGATGACTAATAAAATTTTAAAATGGCGTGGTGATGCACAAATATTCAGTAACCAATCAGGGAGCTGATTGCATCACGCATAGAATTAAAATTATTTAAATAATCATTCATAATAAAATCATTTAAAAAAATGCAAAATTAAATTGTATTTTAATATTTAACAGCCATAAATAATGTTTAAAACATTAGATTAAATTTATAGATATTAGTAAAACCAATTACTTTTTAAATAAGGTGACGTCATTGATTACATCATCCACAACATAAAATTATATAAAATATTACAAACAAAAAAATTTTTATTTCAAATAAAAATGCAAAATTAAATTGATTTTTAACATTTAGAAGCCATAAATAATATTTAAAACATGGAATTTATGCATAATAAAATGCATTATTTTTAAAATAAAATGACAACAGAGTATCGGTTACCATAAATAACTTATCCAGCAATGGGCTTACCATAAGTCCTATTACTTGCCAAAAGAAAAATCGCCAAAATCTGTGCAACCGTCTATCAAAGTAGCACCAAAAATTACAATGAAATAAGCTATATCCCTTAATACAAATATTAATTATTCTAATTAAAAAAATTAACCAACTTTCCGTTGAAGAAAAAAAATCATCCAAAACTTTTCAATATCTTACAAACAGTGAAATAAGCAAAAAATAACATAAAAGAAACTCAAAAAACAAAAAATTCCACGCACAATTTTACTCTGCAGAACAACTTTATAAAAAACGACAATGAAATATGCCAATCTCTTAAAAACAGTGACATAAAAAGTACGATGAAAAATTGTTGCCAAACCCATATTTCTAAAAGAATGAAACTATTCAAAATGATGCGATTTCATCAAAAATTATCAACAACAGTAAGAAAGGAAAATTGTTGCCAAAATCACATTTTTAAAGATGTAAGATGTGCGAAGTGTACTTGGAAGCGTCATTTAAAAAATTTTTTAAAAATACAAAATATTATCATTTTCCCAAAATTCTTTTTGTAAAAGCAATCACAAGGATGAAAGTTTAATGTGTCCAAAAATCAAAGAAAAATAAACTGTACATTTTTAAACGTAAACTTTTTTAGAAAAAATCCTGTTGAAAAGGTGTTTGTTAAATAAATTCGTATTTAATCGATTTATTGAAACACAAAATTTATTTTAAGTTCGCAAAATAGCTAAGTGCCTACATTTCATGCCGATGTGAAAATGGAGTGCAAAGAGTAAAATCTCGCTTTCCTATAGCCCATTATGTCTCAAAATGACGCACTTTCATCACAAAACATAAAATAAAAAAATTCTAATTCGAATTTCGAAAAAATCGCTTCGAGGTGCACTGGCTCTTGTCTATATGCACCTGTGTACCAAATTTCATAGCCGTGAGTCTATTAGCTTACGCGCAGCGCTAATGAAAGACACACACAGACAGACTCTTTGTTTTACTATATGTAGAGGTTAAAAATGCTAGTAAAAATATAGCAGTTTCATGTATATTTAAAAAATTTCCATTTTGGAAACATGGGCAGTAAAATACAATGATAAAATTTTACATATTAGCATTTACATATTGGCATTTGAATTTCTTATTATCTTAATTTCATGACTGAAATTGGTGAAGAGTTAGAATTCTTTAACAGAATTATTTTTAAATCTTGAAGCTATATATTACAAACATTGATAAATTATTTCTGACTGTTCAGTACAGTAATTTGTAAATTAATATGTAATCTCAAGATATGGTATATATGTATATACTATACAAGGTGTGGCTATTAATTTCCAGGACTGCTCTAATAACACCAGAACAGATGATGTGAAAAACATAACCTTTTAATATGTTTCGAAGTAATCCCCATCTGCCGTAATACACTTCTGTGCTCGGCTGAATAAGTTGTGGAAACGACTTTTAAAGTTTTCTTTCGGAAAGTTCATCAATGTTGACGTCAAGTTGCATAACAACGCCCGCCCCCACATTGCGTTCCCAGTGAAGAGGTTTTTGGTCAAGCATGAAGTCGTGGACCTGCATCTTCTGCCATACTCTCCTGACTTGGCCCCAGCAGACATTTTTTTGTTTCCCAAACTAAAAACTGTGATCAAAGGAACACGCTTTGTGCATGATGAAGACATCAAGAAGAATGTGACGTCGACATTTGAAGAGCCTTCTGAAAGAGGACTTTAAAAGTTGTTTCCACAACTTATACAGCCGAGCACAGAAGTGTATTACAGCAGATGGGGATTACTTCGAAACATATTAAAAGGTTATGTTTTTCATACCATCTGTTCTGGTGTTATTAGAGCAGTCCTGGAAATTAATAGCCACACTTTGCATTTTAATTTGAACTGTCTGACAAGCTTTGTAGTTAATTTGTTTTAATTGCATTCAATGGAAGTAATTTGTGATAAATTGGGGAAAATTATTTAAATTGTTGGTAAAAGAAATAATTATCAGCAGATTGAAATTTGTATAGGGCAAAGAAATACTAGTACCTTCCAGTATAAACTTTATTATTATTTCGTACCATACGATGATTTATATTGAGTCTCACATGTTAAAAACTTCTAAATCAAATTGATAATCCATTATGTATGATTTTCAAGATCTTAAACAAACTATCCATTTTACCTCAAAAAGTTTTCTGAAAAATTTTAGTTAAAAATAAGTTTGTGAAAACGTATGAACAATTTGATTTTAAGGACAATTTCTGTATGGTATCAGCACCAAACCTGCTATATCAGAAATTCTTATTCGAAAAGTCAAGTTTTGTAGAGGTGAGTTGCCTAACATCATTCTGAGCTTGTCTAGCTCTTTATTTAGTGAATTAGCTACCCTTTTATTATTTCTTATGTAGTTTTATTATTTAAAAATTTCTTATAATTCTTTTTATCTATGGCAGTTTGGATAAAATAGTATTTAAAATTTAAATAAATGCCAAATTTGAAAATAGTTATACAAACTATTCAAAACTGATTTATTTAGTCGATCACATTCTACAAATTTAGTTACAAGATTACAAGAAAAGTAGTTAGTATCATACTTAAATGTATATAATCTATAGTTATAGATTACACTGTATGCTTTACATATAGGTTTTATCATTGCTACAGTCATATATCATTTAAATAAGTATTAAACATTTTTTTTTGGGGGGGGGGTGGATTGTCTCTTCTTATTTTTAATGAAACTTTGCTTTCAAAAACCATTTGATAAATGATTTGATTAGTTCATAGTGAAGATTATGATCTATTAAATAAGTTGTTGACTCTGATAACTGAAGACCTGTAATAATCATAATAAATAGAGGTCATTGTCATCAATTTATAACTTCTGAAACAACATTTATAACTTGTGTTCAAAAACAATGTTTTTTTAAATTAATTAATTTTTTTAAGGGGGGGGGCAAAAAGAAACAGAAGAAAAGTTTTTTCCCCTTTTCAGAAAATATAAAAAATTTATAATATTTTTAAATACTTATGTTATGAATTTTTTATATATGTAAGTAAGTTTAGTGAAATTATATGTGAAAGTGTAGTATTATTTATTGTATAATGAACCTTGAAGTGCTTGAAAGAG